CCTCAGGGCCACGCGGCGCTGCTCGCCGCACCCCGGCGCAGGAGCCCGGGCGGCCGCGCTCCCCTCCGCCTTCCCCGGCAGGGACGCGGCGGGACATGATCTCCCACAWGGAGCAGGAGGAGCAGCGCTGGCTCTGCCGGCTCCCGGGCGGCAGCCGTGCAGGTAAGCACCGGCCCAGCCGGCTCCGGCCGCTCCCGAGCCAGGCTCCATGCGTTCATATTTCATAASCCGCTGTGCATTTCGGCGCTCCCTGCATCTGTGGGTGTCCCAGCATCCAGCCCAGCTCCCGCTGAGGAATTGGGCAGCTGGGAGGAACGGCCTGCTTTGCTTGGGAGCTGCCTTCTCCCAGTGTTCTCCGTGCCCCTAGCTCTCCCTTTGGCATAAACAGCACAGGGCAGATCCCTGCCCTCGCCCTGCAGGAGTGYGTGTTGTTACGGACCTCTCATACCTCCCATCTGATGAACCCTTCTTGGACAGAACAACCCRTGGAGTCATTTCCCATACAGATGCTGCCCCAAACCTAGTCATCCGTGTCACCTGCTGTACCTTTTCCAGTACCATTTATGTTTCTGAGTTGAGGGAGCCGTCCCCGCCTTACTGTATTGAGGACATAGGCTTACCATGGGCTTGAGCATCAGGCAGAATCACATTGCATTTTATCCTATAGTCTTTTTCCCAACAATGTATAACATTTGCTAAGCCTTTTGTTTGATGGTTTGCCCTAGAGTTGYGGTTTTGCCCAATCTGTTCTGACTCCAGGGTGTGCTTCCTTAGTGATACCTAGAACATCTCGATGTATGTGCAAGCTATAGCGGGGCTTTTCCTCTTTGTAAGTCTTTACATTTATGTGCTTTGAACTTATACATACTTCCTGGAAATCTGCCGGCTTGCCTGCCTGGTCTTAAAACTTGGATGTGATGCCTCTCTGCAGAGGTGTGTGTTGCCACTGCTGCATCCCGCGTACATCTCTGCCACCTATTTACCCGTCTGTGGCAGCAGAAGGGTCAGTGCTTCCCAGGTGCAGTCTTGTCCGTGCTTTAGTTCCCAAGTCCTCAGTAAGCCTGCAGAGAGGTACATCTCTCTGCTGACTGCAAAGGCCACTTTGGGAACTTGTGCTTTCACAGTGGGTAGGGTGCTCACCCAGCCACGTTTCAGCAGAGTGCTGGAGGGAGTCGCTGCTCCATGTAAATACCCAAGAAGCTTCTCGCTAGCATCTCGTCTTGGCAAAGCTTTCTGCTCATCTAGTCTTGACTGCTGTGTTGGTTCATCAAGTTTGTTCCTCTTTGAGGCTTTGTGTAAGGGGACTGATATTATGTTCACTTCTATGCCCTAGGAGGCAGTGATAACTATACCTGGTAAGACCAGCTGGTTTAASTTCCACTGACCAGCACTTCAAGTTCTATGTTTATGGATTCCCTCGGTATGTGATCTGGAACCAGCCACAGAGAATTTCAGTGAGGTGACCTCTGGACTGCGTTTCCCCAGCAGTGCCTTTCACAATGGATCTGTTCTGCAGTGACGGAAACAAAGTTAATTTTCCTCTGCTAAAAGAGAAGAGTTTGCCTTGCTTTATATGATCCTCACTGTAGTTATTCGGGATATCTAGTCTGCACTGAAGAAGACTTTGTACATCTCTGAAATGTTTTAACTGAGAACCTGATTCAGCAAAGAAACAGGCTTGTTGTGCCCCACGGGCCGCCCCTCCTTATGAACTGGCCCTGCCTCGACAGTCACTGCAGGTTTAAGCTTTGCCCCTGCGTGCGGAAGGCAGGATTTCTTATCAGGGATCATCCGTGATGTCAAGAGGAGGGGACCTAAAAGCAGAGCTGGCCGCTGTTGTGGCAGAAGCTCAAGACTTGCTTCGTGGCTTCGTGCTGCCTGTGGCACAGCGGGTARCAGATGGAGCGGGAAGCAGGGGCTGTGCGTTGCTCCCCGCTTGTGTCCTTGGCAGTTCAAGCGGCGCCTCCCGCAGCACTCGCGCTGCTGCCCGCGCCGCCTCCCAAAGCCTTTGGAAATACTGTGCCTCGCTAGTCTTGTTAGGATCGAAACAGGGAGCCTGAGACGAAACTTCACTGCTTTTGATTTGACAAACTAATAAAATAAGGTTGATCCCAGTTAATTCTGGTGGCCTCCAGTCATTACGGAGAATGCAGAGCTCCTCCCAGAGCTTGTTCCTGTAACACTGCAAAATACCCTGAATAGGACGGAAATATCAGGAGTTTTTATACCTACTGAACTTTCAGAATTTATCCCTTTTTGATCTCCCCTGCAAATCATTTCTTTTCCTGCCAGTAACTGCTGTCTGATTCTTGTTTTGTTGCAGCTGAGGATGGGAGTGTGAGCAAGGAGGAGGCAAATCCCCAGCGAGCCATTCCTCGTTCAGTGGAGCCAGACTTGCTATCAGGACTCCCCAAGGAGCACAGTTCCCAGAGTCCGGAACAGGATCCACCTCACCCCCGCAGGTCGGAAAGGGTGCCGAGAACTCCCCTGGGGAAGAGGCAAAACAGAGCGACACTACGTGGAAAAAGTTTCAGGAGGCTGCCAGACAGCAGGCAGGAGAGGAATCCTGCAGCGGGAAGGCTGACGATATGTGGGGACTGCGGGAAGAGCTTCCGAGTGAGCTCCAACCTGGTCCAGCACCGCAGGATCCACACTGGAGAGAAACCCTTTGGCTGTGCCGAGTGCGGGGAGAGCTTTCGGCAGCGATCACATCTCATCCAGCACCAGCGGATCCACACAGGGGAGAGACCCTATGAGTGCTCCGAGTGCGGGAAGAGCTTCAGCATGAGCTCCAAGCTGATCCGGCACCAGGTCACGCACACGGGGGAGAAGCCCTACAAGTGTGCYGAGTGCGGAAAGAGCTTCGCCGGCAACTCGCAGCTGGTGCAGCACCAGCGAGTGCACACGGGGGAGAAACCCTTTGAGTGCGGCCACTGCGGGAAGAGCTTCAGCGTGAGCTCGGCGCTGACGCGGCACCAGCGGGTGCACACGGGAGAGAAGCCCTACGCGTGCGTGGCCTGTGGCAAGAGCTTCAGCCAGAGCTCCGAGCTCATGAAGCACCAGCGGGTGCACACGGGCGAGAAGCCCTACGCGTGCTCCGAGTGCGGGAAGAGCTTCACGGTGAGCTCTGCCCTCATCCAGCACCGGCGCTTCCACCTGGGCGAGCGGCCCTACGGCTGCTCCGAGTGCGGCAAGAGCTTCACGGTGAGCTCCCACCTCATGCAGCACCGGCGCTTCCACACGGGCGAGCGGCCCTACGAGTGCGCCGAGTGCGGGAAGAGCTTCCTGTGGAGGTCGGCGCTGCTGCGGCACCGCAGGGTGCACACGGGCGAGCGGCCCTACGCCTGCGCCGACTGCGGCGACAGCTTCCGCCAGAGCGCCCACCTCATCCAGCACCGGCGCATCCACACGGGCGAGCGTCCCTACGCCTGTGCCAGCTGCGGCAAGGGCTTCACCGTGAGCTCCGCGCTCCTCCGGCACCAGCAGATCCATAGGGGACAGGAGCCTTAGGAGGGGTGAGCGCGGGGAGCGGTGGTGTCCCATATCCTGTGGTCGAAGCCCAGGGCCTCTCTCCTTTCCGTGTAATAACCACCCTGCTTTTGGAGGGTGGGAGCAGGTTCTTTTGAGGAGAATGAGTCCTAAAAGGTGGAGGTGGAAGGAGAGGAGAGGCAGGGCAAGAAGTTGGGCATCTGGGGAAGAGTGTGTGACAAAGCGGAGGGAGGAGGTGATGTCCAGAGGGGTGACTCTGGGAGTGGGAGAGAAACAAAGTGAAAAGGCTAAATGATGTTTGGTGCTGTATTTAAGAGAAAGGAAGGAGCTTGCCATTTCTGTGTGCACAAGTGTTTCAATTTACAGCGGAAACTAAAAGGACTGTCTGTGAGAGCATGGAAAGCASTAATTAGGAAAAACGGAAGCTCTTGCATTCCCTTCCCGATGCTGCTTTGCTTAGAGGCTCTGAGCAGCCTAGTGCAGGCCGTAGAGCCGCAAGCTCGCGCGCCTCAGCTCCCGCTGCCGCTTGTCCGCGCGGGCTGTACACGCACACCGTCAGCCGTCCCTTAGGGCACCCCTCGGGCTGTGACACGATGCCCACCGTGGCCATGGGTCACACGATGCCCACCATGGCCGGGGCCTCCGTGGGAACCGTCCGCACAGCTGCTGGACACGCGCCGCTCCTGCTCGCTGGGGTTCTGCTCGGAGGAGCCACCATCTTCCTCCGGAAACCATGGACAGGAGTCCTGGYGTTACACGTTAGAGGATCGTTCTTGGTTTTCCTTGGGAGAATTGAATTTCTTAGCAGTGAGGGTGACAGAGCCCTGGCACAGGCTGCCCAGGAAGGTTGTGGAGTCTCCTTCTCTGGAGACCTTCAAATCCCGCTTGGACACAGCCTGTGCCCTGTGCTCTAGGTGACCCTGCGTGTGCAGGGAGGTTGGACTAGATGATCTCTAGAGGTCCCTACCAACCTTAAGGATTCTCTGAATGTTCCTTCTGCAAACACTGGGAGTAAGAATTGTATTTTAAGGAGGTKTAATTATTTGCAAGTGTCCAAATAAAACCTTTCAAAAAATGTAATTTTCCCAGCTCTTTTGCTGCCACAGGCAGAATCCTGTAGGTTTCTTCTTGCTCAGCAGCAGCACTTGACCTCTCTGCTGCTTTTAGCTGTTGATGCTTCAGAGAGGAACGAGTGGGTGTTTGCGCTGGGCAGTGCTTGGGTGGGACCTTGTCCGCACAGGACGGGGCTGGTGCGGTGACGGGCTGGGGTTAGAGCTGCTGAGGCTGCAGGCGCCGCAGTGAGGCCCGTGCTGCAGGCAGGGCAGCCCAGCGTGCCTAAATTCCYCCTGTTTTCCCCTAAAAACTCTCCCATCCCCCTGGAAGCGCCCCCCTCAACAGCCCCCTGTCTCCTCACAGGGAGCGCAGCGCGCATGCGCCGTGGCCCCGCCCCCACCGCGCACGCGCCGCGCCCACCGCCYCGGGGCGGTGCCTGCAGCAGCGGCGGCGTCGCTATTGGCTGAGGACGGGGCGGGGCCGAACGGCTGCCCTGTGACGTTCGGCCGCCTCCGCCAATGGGAGGTGCCGGCGCGTGGCGYCGCCGCCGCCTCCCCAATAAAAGCGCGGCGGCGGCGGGGGTCTTTGTGTGGCGCCGTGGGGCCGCGCGCGCGGCGGGTGAGTGGGCGCGCGGGGCCGGCACCGGTACCGGGCTGAGGCACCGGCCGGGCCGCGGCGGGACCTGCGCCCCCCTTCTCCCGGCCGCGGCCCCGCTGGGCCCTCGGCATCTCCCATCGCGGCTCGCGCGTCTCCGTCCCCGCGGGTGAGCGGCGCCAAACGAGCTCCGAGCCCCCGGAGGCGCCGGTGCCGCCGGGGCTGCAGCCCTGCGCCCGGGCGGCTGCCCGGGGCCTGCCCGGTCGCTTCCGCCCGCAGAGCGGCGCGGGGGAAGCGGGTCACGCCGGGAGGCGGCGGCGSCCTCCGCGTGATGCCCCGGCCGAGGGCGCTGGGGTCGGAGGACGCGGATCCCGCGCGGCGGTGCCCGGCCCGGGGAGCGCGGCCTGCGCCGGCCCCGTCTGTGCGGGGCTGGGGCGGCGGCGGCCTCGGAGGCGAGGAGCAGCTGCCGTGTTCGGGCCCGGTGCCCTCCGTAACCTGCCCTCGCGCGGCTCCCCTTCCTGGGGTGAGGAAAACACAGCCTAGACTCCTAGGCAGGGAGCAAGTCCTGAGCCCCGAGGTGCTGGGGTGTTCGTGCCGGGGCGCAGGGGCGCTTACCTTCACCCGGCACTGCAGCTGATGGAGCTGCGTCGGGCAAGCACGGTCATTTGTCCCATAGACTGTGATTTCTGTGGGCAGTCAGTGCCGTGTATTCAGCGGGAGGAAGGGATGCCGAGCTCTGCTAACGTTACTGCTGAGCTGSTTTGGGATATCCCTTCAGATTCAGAGGTCTGGGCCGTGTCCCTGCCGCAGGGACGATCAGGTAGGTGCAGCTCCGTGCCTCGCACTGGCACCGTTAGTGCCTTGGTAGCACGCTGGCCTAACAGCAAGTGTGAGCCCTGCTGGGGAGGGGGCCTGTGAGTTATTTATTGAGCTGCCCGGGAGCTGCTACCACCTGCAGTCTCGTGCTTCCATGTTGCATCAGCGTCTCCTCATTGTCCTTCAAAAAGGCAGGGGTTATTGGAGTATTCATGTGCCTCCCTGTACTGAGGGGTCCAGCCGTTCACCTCAAATGCAGTGTTGTGCAAATGTGCATGAGGAAAATKACCTGCATGAGAATGAGGTGACTGCTAGGAGCGCCCCAAAGGCCCTGCTGGAGGCTGGCAGTGCTGAGCTGCTCTGTACGAGACCTTCCAGCCTCTGGCAGCTCTGCTGCCTCGTGTAGCTGTTGGATTCCCCCGCRCAGGCTGCGCTCAGGGCCCTGGAGAGGTGCGTGTTTACCCTGTACAGCTGCCAGGGTTTGGACAAGCCCAGCTCCTCCTGTGTGATCCTCTGTCCTCCTGCGGCGCCGCGGTCCCCAGAGCRAGGCAGGCGCCGTGTGAACCTTCCCTTCAGTTCCTAGGACACTGCCTCTTTCAGAGGAGCGAATACCCCAAGAAACCAGTGTTGTGACCAGTGACCACTTTGGGGGTTCAGTTGTTAGCTCTCTGAATAACAGCACTAGTTTCTGGTGGCATGAGAATAACAGTGCCTTTTGATTTCCCACCTCCARGTTTTCATATCCTAGCCGTATACCGAATAGGGTAGGGTGCTGACCTGTGCCGTCTTGTCTCCTGAATTCACAGCTCATCAGGGAGCTGTCTGTGCTGCAGACTATCAGCACAAATTCTGGCTTCTCTGTTTTCTTGTGTTCATCCCAGCTTATGACCTGGCTAAGGGGCTGGTGCCACCCATTGCCCCGTGYTCTGCTGTAGAGAAGGGCTTGTCAAGCTGAACCTTTACCCCTCCTTGGCCACCTCCTCTCTTCCTACAAGTCACAGAGTGCACTGGAGTCCTTGCCTGGGGCTCTGCCCGCTACCCCCTTTTCCAGCATGAGCCAATGCTGCTTGGGCAGTAATTCACTGATCAGTTGTGCTTCTGTAGCTCTAAAAGATTTAAATACTTCTCCACCRTTTACTCTGTATAGAGCAAGCAATGCAAAGCTCTGGTGCTGGTGGGTTCTGCAAATCCAGCTGTTGTGGGAGGTGGTTCCTGGGCATAGGCATAAAGATCCTCTCGGGAGCCGCACAATGTGTGTGTGGCCATTGGGAGCCTCTAACAGTTGTTGCTCTTRATCACTGCAGTTCCTGAGGCTTAGTCTGGTGAATTCCTTCATGTTGGCTTCRTCTTCTATGTATGTGTCTCCTCCAAGGGATGAGCAATGCAGAAGTGCCCCTCGTAGCTCTAGGCTTGCTGCTCGTCTGTATCCACAGCGTTGATGGGCTCTCAGCTCTCTGGGAGGATKAGACGAATGGGAACTCGTGCGTCTGGCTCCTACGTTTGGAATTTGCATCCCTGAAGTAACCTGCAGGGAAAGCCCAAGCTGTGAGGCCCCGCGTGCCTGCYGTGGCAGAGGCCCGGCTGCCTTGCCATGCAGGCTGCTCCTCGTCGTGCCCGGGGCAAAGCCTCCCTGAATGGGAAACCTGTCGGACTGTTTAGTGGCTGCCATGCCTCAGTTTCCCCCCAAGGTGAGGCCTGACTGAAGCTGTGAAGCGCGTGGAGGTGGCAATTCTGGAGTGAATGTGCTTGTTGTTGAGTGACCGGAGATGGAACAGCATCCAGGCGTGGTTCCCTCCAAGAGCTCCGTGCCCTTGCTCCTGTGTGTCTGTGTGTCCTGGCTTTATAATCGTGCTGAAACCCCTTGTTGCAAGGATGCTGAGCCTGTGCCGTGCTTGTCCCATAGGGAAGCCTAGAGGGGTTGGAGGGCTGTCCCCTCCAGTAAATCCTGCTGCTGAACGGGGCTGCACTAACAATGTGTTAGTGCTGTGAGGTGCTCATCAAGCTCCTGCTGGAGGAAGGCTCCTTCCCAGGGAGCCCAAAGACTCCTCAGCCTGGTAACGCGCTCCCAAGTGGAGAGGGGCCTGGCTCGCAGGGACTCGCTGCGCTGCCCCAGGGACCTGCTCGGCCCGCGCTGGGACCTGTGGTGCCTCTGCAGAGCACCGAGGTGGTGAGAGCTGGAAAACAAGGAGGTGGGAAACCCGCCGGGAAGGAGGGGAGGGTGGTTCATGTGTGAGCAGTGSTGGGAACAAGGGGAGGGTGGTTCATGTGTGAGCAGTGCTGGGCGGCAGCGGCGCCTCCAGGCTGGGAGCCAGCGGCGGATCCGCGGCCGTGGCCTCCTGCGAGCTGGCCTGGCTTGTCAGCTCTTGTCTCACGGTAGCCCCCAAACATGGGCTGAGCAGGGTCTGCAGGTGYAGCCCACCTAGGGAGGCCTCAATTGAAGCAGGGAGGAGAGGGAGGACAGCTCCTTTACAGCTGGCACCTTGTGGAGCACCAGCCAGAAGCTCTGCTTTGGGCCTGCCTTGCTTGCCTGTAATTTGATGGTGGTGCCCAGCCCAGAGCTGATTACTGGCTCCACTTTATAAATACGGGTGCTGGGTTTGTGGCTTAACCTGGTATAAGCCAGGTGTCTTGCTCCTGGATCTGGGAGCCTCTTGCACGTCCTGCTACACCCGAGGAGGAGGTTTTTCCTTTTCAGATCCGAGAGGATCTAAGTTAATTCTGGGGTTTAAAGTAAAGCCTGTTAGGCAGGAGGRGAGGGTTTGAGGGGGGGGTAGTGGGAGTAATCCCTGCAGCTCGTTCTGTTCAGGCAGTAGCACCTGCTTTGCTACCTGAGAACAGCCCAGGAAGGGGAAGGCTGTAGCAGCTGCCCCTGCTTTGCAATTTCCCCCTCAAATATGTGTCTGTAGGGGAGACATTGGTTCTTCTCTAAGCCRTCTGCCTTCATTCAGATCTTAGCTGGCCTGGCTCCCTGCTGCATCCTCTGGGCAGGCTCCATCCTGCTGCAGAAGTGAAGCTGCTTGAAATCCCTTCTCCCAAGGAGAGAAAGCTGCTTCCCTCTGCAGTTATTAGCCTAACACTGGAGAAGGGAGTTGGCAGCCCCAGCAGAAAAACAGCTAACTGGTAACTTCAGTGCAGATCGCTGACGAGGAGGAGGCCTCTGCTCCTSCCCGGCCCGGCCCGCGCCGCTCAGGCTGCCTTGGCGCCGCGAGGCSGCTCTGCGCCGGGCCGAGCGGGGCGGCCCTCGGTGGCCTGCGGTGAGGATGATGACGGGCTGCTTCCCRCTCCGCGGTGATGCAGCACTGACGCCTTGAGACCCCTCTGCGCCTCCTACCCATCTACTGCCAACCTTGGGGTAGTTTTCCTGCTAAGACTTCTCTGCCTTCCAGGTTGCCTGGTCTCCAGCACTGCTCTGGCCGGGGCTGTGGAGCGATGTCGTCCGTTATGGAAGGTTCCGAGTGGGGAGAAGATGGGGAAAACCTCCGCTATGAGGAGACAGAAGATGAAAATGTCAGGTGAGTCTTACACATGGCCCAGATCTTGTCCCAAGCAATACAGGATAGTCTCTGGACAAGTGTGAACCTTTTACAGTCACTTGCTCCTTCACAAAGAAGGAAAAGTGACTGGAAAGGGTGTGTTGCTAAATCAAGTTTCTAATTTAGCAAAGTTCACAGGAGAGGTGGGAGGGACAGGAAAGAAGTGTCTGACAGCASGGAGTTGCTTCTCAGGCTGTGCCCCTGAATTCACATTTCAGAAATGCCTGGCTGTTTGGCAGTCGTGTTTATCCCTTCCTGGCTGAGGTGAACCAGCCTTTCATGGCTTGCTGGACAGTGTCTCGTGATTAGCAGATACTTGTTTTGAAAGATGACTCTGGATGTGAACTCTGCTCTAGTGAGCTGCATCTTTTGCAGAATAGCCAAAGGTTTAGGCAAGGCTTTCTTTCCAAGGCACTCTTTTAAAAAAAAAAAATAAAATAAAATAAACTCTGATACGGTCAAGCTCTATAATCTTCTTACTCTGCTATGTCCATCTGCAGCCTCTTTATGGAATAAGCTGAGACAAGAACCTGTTGGGCCTGGAGCTGCTCAGTACTTGGGGCAATGGGTAGTTGCATCCTTTCCAGCCAGGTCTGGAACAGATGGAACACGATGTCCTAAAGAACACAGTTATTTCATGTACTTCAAAGGTACTTCAGTTGTCCATCCCTATTGTGAAGAGCTGAGTGCAGGTGAACATTATGTCCCATGCACTTGCTGAAACATGCTCTAAAAGCAACAGCTTCAGGCTTAGAAATGGGTGAGAATGCAGAGTGCTTCTCAAAACCCCTAGYTGACTTCTGTTTAACAGGCTCAATTTCATGAAGCTGGTGATAGCAGCTTTTCCAGCCACATCCAGTTTTCTCTAGTCAGTTGATGGCATGGGTCTGGGGTGCTCAGAGTCTGTTTTATACAGTTAATGTGAGCACACCATCTACAGCAAACCACAGTCAAAAGAACCATCTAAGCTGGACTGTAGCATGAACTCCTATGAGTGTAGGTGTGTAGGTRGGTAACTCCGTGCCCACCTCCAGGTAGGTGCAGTGGCTGTAGTCATCCCATCAGTTGCTTATCCTTGAAAATCCTGGTTGCAAAAGTCCAGGTTTTGGCTRTGTGTTCTTCTACTTTGACGTGAGCCTTGCTTGCTCTCCAGAGTGCAAGGCTCCTGTGCCCCTTACCGTTACCTGTGATCTTGAGATGATCAAGGCCTCCTTTGATGTTATTGTTAAAGCTTGCATGGATGAGCAGTAAAAACAATGGCCCAAGGATCAAAGGATCCTTGGATCATTGCTTCAGCACACTGCATCTGAGCCCCCTGATAAGCATCAAGCCTCTTAAAATGGCCAAACTGGTTGGCAGTGAGTGCAGAAGGAGCCTGGAGAAGGACATGGACTGCTGCCATCCTGTTGTTTCTTCCTGATGGTGCCAGTCCCGGCCTGTGTGCCTGGCCTTATCTCCCTGAGACCTTCTGTGATTCTGGCAACCGTGTCAGGTCCTTGGGACAGGCTCCCCATCCCTGTGTGCCTTCCTCAAACTGCACCTGAGATTGAGGGAGCGTGGGGCCCTCCAAGCTCGACAGGGACAATTGTGCTGCACAGGGCAGCTTGTCGTCAGCAGAGCTCTCCTGTTTCACATGCAGTCCCACCGACCTCTCGGAGCTACTGAAGAAAGGGACTAAGGAATCCCACGATCGTGCGACGAATACCCAGTTTGTCAAAGACTTCCTGAAAGGGCGGATCAAGAAGGAGGTTTTCAAGGTGAGTGCTGCTCTATTTTCTTGGCAGAGGAGCTCTTTACTGRTCTATTCAGTGACTGATGCAGACTGAAGAGTCATGGAAGCTGAGCACCTCTGGCTTGTGTGTGTTAAGGTGGATTTCCAGTCATCAGAACTTGTCAGGGGCTCCCATCCAGCTGAGCTCCAGGGTGGTGAGGAGCGTGCTGGCCTAGCACAGACTCGCCTTAGATGTAGGTGCTCAGCTTCTGACCCCGCACGTTGTAGTCATGATAGGATTATCACCATWAACTGGTCCACTAGAGGCTGATTCTGCTTCCATGGGCGTTATGTCATATTGCAATTTAAACTGTACAGGAGAGATGGAGTTTGGGTCTGAGCAGTGCAGTCTGATTCTGAAGGCCTTGGGCCAGTTGCAGTAGCCCTCTGAAGCMCCTGGTGTTGGTGCTACTTGCACCTCTTGCATGAAGTCAGTCCCCGTGTCACATTCTGAAGGTGACAAAGCCCAGAGTCACCAGCATTACACCAGTGATCCTCAACCCGTCGTAGGCAACTTTATTCTGAAACTAGGTGAAGAGCCTCTGGTCCTTCAGACCATGCAGTTTACCAGGGGCTCTCCAGGCTGCTCTTGTGCAGAGCTCTGGGGTTTCTTCTCTGTGGACCCAACCTCCATCCTGGGGAGGAGGCGGCACAGGGTGAGGTACAGATTGAGTGAGTAACTTCTCACGTTAGCTGTGCTTTGTCCCTAGCTGGCTACTGTGGCGCTCTACTTCACGTACTCCGCTCTGGAAGAGGAAATGGACCACAACAAAGACAACCCAGTCTTTGCCCCTCTGTATTTCCCTCTAGAGCTCCACCGGAGAGAAGCGTTGGTCAAAGACATGGAGTATTTCTATGGCGAAGACTGGAAAGAGAAGATCCAGTGTTCGGAGGCAACTCAGCAGTATGTGGACAGAATCCGTCACGTGGGGCAGCATGAACCAGAGTTGCTGGTGGCCCACGCTTACACACGCTACATGGGGGACCTCTCAGGTGGCCAGGTGCTGAAGAAGGTGGCCCAGAGGGCCCTGAAGCTGCCTCCTACTGAAGAAGGAATACAGTTCTACATGTTTGAAAACATTTCCAATGCACAACAGTTCAAGCAGCTCTACAGAGCAAGGATGAATGCGCTGGACTTGGACAAGAACACTAAGGAAAGGATTGTAGAAGAAGCTAACAGGGCTTTCAAACTGAACATGCAGGTACTAACCCCTTGAGTCACTATAAATGTAGGTGTTGCTGCCTTCAGCTCTGTGCTGGCTCCTGAGCCATTAATGCAGCCAGACTGTTCACCTGGGAGAAGTGGTTTGGGTCTGAGACCATGAGAGCCCCTTCCACTGGGGGGCAGCAGGATTCTGCCTTTCTCTCGTGTGGCGATTTTGGTCTGAGCAGTTTTGTGTCCACCTTCTGGATGCAGATCCTGACAGCAGATTCTGACAGATCCTGGGTAGCAATCCTTCTCCCCACACCAGGGCAATGCATGAACCTTTGATTAGGATTGAACTGAGACATCTTGGACTATCAGGTTTCCATGAGCACTAAATGGTGGCTCTAAAGCTCTAAGASCAGAACTCTTGCTTAGTTTCAAACAGCTTTATCAAGATACATGCTCTTGTGCTGTCATCCTCATATTGCCCTTTCCTAGTTGGAGTTTATCTCTTGTCTCAGCTGGTGATCTGAGATTTCTCCCAGTGAGCAAAAAGATCTGTAGCCCATGGCCTCTGTTCCTTCCCGTGTTACTTTCATCTTGCATGAAATGACTGAGCTGCCCACTGTTTTGGGAGGAGGGACGTGGTTGTCTGCGTGCAGCGTGGTCACGCTGAAGTTTTAGCAGGTCTTTATGATTTAAGCTGCTCAGAAATGTGATGGGAAGTGCAGTAGGCCCCTCTGTTTTGGGGATCCTTACAGAAGCCCTTGGCAGAGTTGCTGGAGGGGCCTGCCCAACTGCTCTGTGAACAAGAGCAGTGATTTTCTAGAGAAGATCTGCAGCAGGGAAGGGAGCTCAGAGCTTCATCTAGCCTCCACTGGAGGCTGCAAGGCAGGCAGCAGTCATGCTCTGTCTCCCTCCTGGGCACAGAGGTCTAACCTGAGGTGCTCTTGGCATGGGCCCTGCCTTTGCAGAGGCTCTCAGCGGTGTCRGCCTGCAGGGCTGTCAGAGATAGAAGCAGATGTTCTACTTGCTGTCCGGGTGGCTGGAGATGAAATGATTCTTGCTGTTCTCTGGATCTTCCTTTTGATCTGAGTATACAGCTCAGCCTGCCCCTGCGCTCGCTGTGACCCCTTGCAGGTATTCGATGAACTGGAGAAGACTGGCCTGTCTCTAGCAGACGAAGCCCAAGATGGAGGTGTCCCAGTCCACGATGGAAAAGGAGACATACGCAAATGCCCTTTCTATGCAGACAAACTAGGTAGGTTTTGGGCAATGACAGAGCAGTGAATCCTTACTTATCTCTGTGCTGCAGCACTAATGGCCCTTTCTGTGTTCTAGGTGGCACGGCAGGAGCTGGCTGTCCCTATCACACTGCCATGTCCTTGGCAAAGCAGCCCCTTGTGCAGCTGATCCTCGCGGCCTGGGTCGCCCTGGCAGCAGGAGCTGCAGCCTGGTACGTCATGTGATGGGAAGAGCAACCTGCAGCTCTGGTGGTGGCAGAAGGAGAGGGGCACCCTGTCCTCCTTCAGACTGTTCTGCTGCTGCTGGCAGAGTTGCCTGCAGGGCACAAGTAAGACAATAAACAGAATCCAGCGGGACTCCCCAGGGTTTTCTGCACACCCATAATGCAAGCACTGTAAAATAATGTCATAGCTGACTAGTGTACAGGATGCGCTGGTGAGCGGGTATGTGGATTCCAGGTCAGCGCTGCTGCTTCAGACCGGGGCAACTTTAAGGCTCTAACTGTCTCATCCTACCTATACTGGCAAAGGCTTCACATGCTTGGCTTTCTATTCCCCTTCCTGGAAGGGGTCCCTGTGGAGAGTTTTCTGCCCTGAGCTTCAAGCCAGGAAGGTGTCATTAGTCTTTTCATAGAGGAGCATTCAGTTTCCTATCAAGAGGAGCTGGTGGAGAGGTACCACGGTGCTGTAGTGGCCGTGCTGCAGGCTGTTAGTTCACAGGAGGAATGCRTTGCTTGTTCTAGTGTCCTGGGGACCAAACGTAACCTGTGTCGTGGGAAGGATTCTGCCCTCTTAGCAGTGGCTCGAGGGAGGGCTGTCCTCCCTGGAGGAAGGGAGAGGACCAGATGTGTGGATGGGGGAATGAAGGTAACACCTTTATTGTGCAACATTGATCTTGCTGAAGCCTTTATTGGAATAAAAAGTTGCTATGCTGCAGCAGGGCAAAGCCAGAAGTGCATCATTGTGTGGGAGAAAAGGCAACYGTGGTGCAACATAAGCCTATATGGGGGTGTGGAAGGCTGAAGAGGCAGGATGATGGATTTAAGCTCCCACCATGTCCTGATCATCTCTTTCTGCCCTGTTGCTATCCAGCACTGCTTCCCCAGAGACATTCCTGTCCTTAGCCCTCCCCTGCTGCTTCCCCACAGGGTTTTCTTCCTCCCCTCCTGCTGCATCCTCCTCCCTGCTGCCCCTTCCTCTGGGGTCTGGTCAACCCAGGTGCTSTCACTGCACATGCCCTTGTGCCTTATGTCCCCTCTGAGGCCAGGGTCTGTCCCCATCCTGTCTCTTGCCTCTGAGGCGCAGGGTCCTTGCACCCTTCCTGCCTGTGCAGTGGCCCTTGTGCCTCAGCCCTGTCCTGTTCCAGCTGTGCACGAAGAAATTACTCATCTGGAACTGCAGAATGGTTGAAGGTAGAAGGGATCTCCGGAGCCCCAGCCTGCCCTCCCCTGCTCCAACAGGGCCACCTACAGCATGTTGCCCAGGCCCCTCTTCATTTAGCCTTTGAAAAATGCCAAAGAGGGAGACCCCCTGCCCAACATCTCCGGGCAGCCTATTCCAGTGCTCAGTTACCTCCCAGCAAAGCCTTCCCCTTGTCCCTGCAGTGCCTCCTTAACCCTCAGCGCTTCAACAGCCTCAAGTAGGGAAGAAACAACACACACTGAGCTCAGGGATTGTTATTTATTTACATACAGACAGAGGGACGAGTGCCTCGGCTCTACTTCCAAGCAGAGAGCGGGTGCAGGCCCGGCCCCGGGCAGAGCCCCCCGCTCTGCTCTGCTGTGGGGAGCCGCTTGTTCCGGGCGCCGGAGCAGGGCACCCAAGGCAGGCAGGGGAGCAGCTGCTCCAGCGAGGCCGCGAGCGGTTCCCGGGCCTCCTGCCCGGCCCGGCGCTGCTGCCGGCTTGGTTCACTGCCTGCTCCTCCTGCCTCATCGCGGGTGAGATTAAAAATAATTCCCTCGACCCACCTGCAACGAGGAACCCCCGGGTGCATCTGTGGTAGCTGCAGGGTAGGTGCTGCTGGGCGGCCGCCCGTGGCTCGGGAAGGGCAGGGGGCCCTGGTGCGGCATGGGCAGGGGTACGAGCCAGCCCTGCTGGGCCACCAGGCTCCTCTATTCTACGCGGTGCATGTGGCAACGCACGGGGTGCACTGTTTGCTCCTGGCTGGGTGAGAAGCAGCCACGTTTCCCTACCCTGAGTGGCTGCTCTAACGGGACAGACGTGCCATCGCGGGCGCAGCGCCAGCTYCCGCCCTGCACCTCGAGGGCAGCTCCCCGCGCCCCTCCTGGCTACGCTGCCATAGGGGCACTTGGCAGCACGCAGGGCATGAGCCCCTCTGCCCCCCCAAGGAGGCGCCTCACCCGGAGCCTGCGGCAGCCCTTCCCAAAGGGGCACAGCTGAGGTGCTGGTGGTGCCCRATGTGCCCTGCAACCAGCTCTGGCCTCCCCCTTTCCCACTACGCAGGAGAAGTGCTGAGGGGCGGGAGCATCYGCCAGCCTCCGCTCCCTGCGCATGGCACCCCGTGCCCTGCAGTGGGTGCAAGGAGGGTGGCCTGGCTCCTGTGCCCGGCGCGCAGGGCAGCCGCCAGCAGGAGCTCAACACGTGGCCCCGGGGCGCCCGGGCCAGCGGCCGCCGCGCACAGCAGGGCCCGCRGCCCGGGAGGGTGGGCGCAGCGCTGAGCGGGGGGCAAGCGGGGCCCATGCGCACCGCCGCGGGGCAAGCAAAGGAGTTGCACACGCACAGACTAGGACRGCAGCAGGAGAGGGGCTGGTGTCATTCCAGTGGCTCGGGCTCCCGGGGCGCCGTTAGCACATGCGCTTGTACGTGTAGATGTAGGCCTTGCAGTTGGGACACGTGTGCGTCACGTCCTTGAAGTCATCGAACAGGCAGGGGATGAGGCAGCAGCAGAGGTCACACCTGCAGCGGAGGGAGACGCCCAGGGCCGTGAGGCCGGGCGCTGCAGAGCCGGGGCCGGGCGCGTGAGCGAAGCAGGAGCARCCCGTGCGGGGGTCAGCCCCAGAGGCAGGGCCTTTGGTGGCAAGAGAGGTGAGTGGGCGCTTGGGAGGCCKGAGGCAGCCGGCCCCTCGCCGCCGTGCTCAAGGTAAGTGCTTTACTCCTCAGCAAGCCCAGATTTGAGGCGGCTGGAGGGGACCTGCAGAGATCGTCTGGTCCCAGTTGCCCCCATCCAGCTTGGACTCCCTACCGCTCTGTGCAGACTGCTCCTGCACTAAGGCCCTCTGATCCCACTGGCTCCCCCAGTGGCTGATGGCCTTTCAGGCGCCACCATCGCGTCCCTCACAGGAGACAAGGTGGCCGGACACCCTGGAGCCACACGCTGCCTTAGTGAATGCTCGGTGCSCACGGCGGCCCCGCTGGTCCTCCCAAGCAGTGTGGGCTTGGGAGAGGGCTGTGCTAGGCCAGCCCCAGCCCGCTGCTCGAGGCACCTACCCCACGAAGCAGCAGAGGAAGCCCAGAAGRAAGCTCATGAAGCCGATCTCGTAGGTGATCTTGGTGGTGATGGCTTGCTGGCAGTGGGGACACACGGTCTGCACCGGGGCACCCTGGAATATCTCTCCTTGCAGCACGGTCACCGTGGTGGTGGTCCCCGAGGGGACGAGCACGGTCGCTGTGTGGCCGCCGGGAGCCGGGTAGTGGCCYGGGGCAGGGTGGTAGCCCATGGGCGGGTAAGGCCCCTGCGGTGGGTAATAACCAGCTGGGAAGGAGAGACGGGCACAGGTGACAACCTTTGTATGGGGCAGCAGAGACGGGATTTGCACGGAGGGGGAGCCCCTCGCTGCTGCACCGGGGTCTTGTTTAAAGGCTTGTGGGGGGCACCCGTGCCACGTTCTTTGCAAGCACGGTCCCCTGTCCCCGAGGAGCTCCCGCGGCTGCCCGCACTCACCGGGCGGCACGAAGGCTCCGGAGCTGTCGGTGGGCATGTGGGGGGGCACGAAGCCCGGCTGCGAGGGCGGYTCGTAGGGAGGGGGCCCGAACTCGGGCGGGGGGACGGGGGCGCCCTGGGGCTGCCCCGCGGCCGGCGAGACGCCATCTGAAAGGAAAGCGGGGTCAGCGGCCAGGGCGGGAGGCGGCGGTGCCCGTGGGGGACAGGGCGAAGCTGAGCGGTTAGAAACGGGGCAGGAGCCCCATGGAGAGGGACAGCAGCGCACAGGGACGCGCTGGGACCCGGGCGGGGACAGCAGGGACGTTCGCTGCCCCCAGCCAGGGGCTCCAGGACGGCCCTGAGGACTAGCGGCCTGTCACCGCGGCCGGAGTCCTGTCCTCAGGGTCACAAGAGCCCCACGTCACCCACAGCAGAGCCCGGCTTGGCTCGGGGGCTTTCCCCAGACCTCCCCTGAGGTCCCCCCGAGTCAGCAGGGAGGGCCGGCGGCAGGCGGCACCGCGGCCTCCCAGCGCGCTGCCAGGGGAGGCCGGGGATTCCCAGGGGACCCGCGCGCTCCCTGCTCCAGCCCCCAGAGCCGGCCGCGGCGGAGCGTCTCCCACCGGCCCAGGTACCTGTGGCAGGCGGCGGGCCGCGCTTCTCCTCCATGGGCGGTGCCGAGGGGCCGCCCGGGTAGGGTGGCGGCGGCTCGTTGGACATGGCAGGGCCGCCCTGCAAGGAAAGCAGCCCCTGGGAGACGCCAGCCTTGGAGCTGCCGCGCGGGGCAGCAGGTAACGGGGGGCAAAGCCCAGGGCCGCCAGCCTGAGCCCTCCTGGACATGGCCTGAGGGCAGGCCGGCCRCCATGTGGGAGCGCTGCTGGGGCGCAGGGCTTCGGGGAGGAGCTGCTGGTCCTCTCCCTTCACGTCAGACTCTGACTGTGCTCTGAGAGCAGGAGCATGTGCCCGGGCACCCTCTGGCACCTCTGCCAGCTGCCTCTGCAGCATTTCCCCCATGAAGACCATGCCTGGTGCTCCAACAGGGCCCCAGTGCAGCTCTCGGATGCGGTTCTCATGCACTGGGGTGTTACCAGGATGGAGGCTGCCCTCRAGGGCGCTCTCAGCTGCAGCACTACAGGACCAAGCCCAGGAATGAGGCCCAAGGTGACTACAGGCTCCCCCAGGGCCACCTGGCAAGTGAAGCTCCTGCATTGGAAGGGGAGATGGGACATCTTCCCATTGAGCCCCGAGGATAAGGTTGTGGAGAAGGAGCAAATGCACACAAGGCATCCCTAAATGTGCTCAAGTGAGTTAGGATGAGACCAGCTTTAAGCATCAGAGGATTTACCTTTTACTTCCTTCTTGCAATGATCTCAGAAGCTTTGGCAGCACTAAGAAATCAGCAATTCTTCTAAGCCACAGAGTTTGGAAGCTGTCTTAGCCCACTRAAGCTGATGGAAAGAAGACAGAAAGTGCATTAGAGGAGCCCCTGCGACAGAGCAGTCTTGTCCACCAGGTCACCYACCAGCTCCTGGAGCACTTGAGGCTCTATGTGGGACCCAGTCCTCACTTGTGGCCCTGACTACAGGCACGAGCAGCCATCGTGGGCAGGACAGAGGGGCTGTATCTGGGGCCAGGAGGAGTCACCTCATCCCCATCAGCTCAGAGGTGACCCAAAGCCAGGGCTGACACCGGCCCATGGACACCCAGTAACCCCTGGTCCTGGGGAAAAAGACACAACCTCGAGCATTGCAGCATAGAGTGAACGTCCCACACGGCTTCTGCTGGCGACGGGCGGCCAGGCTGCCACACCACTTCTCCAGGGCCACAGTCATAGAGCCAAGGGCAAGTGGCCCTGGCGTCACCACGAGCTGAGCCCTGGCACGCTCACAATCTCTTCTCGAGCCGTGTCCCGGCTGCAAGAGCAGGCCGAGGAGGGGACCCCTCCGGGAACAGAGCTGGCTGTTTACTCTGGTCTCCGGGGAAGCCCAATGACGCCGAGAAACCCAACYTCCCTGGTTCCTCTGATGGACGTGACTGAATCGGGACATGCAGATGAGAGGCTCTGCGCTCTGGAAGGCTGCCACGAGGCGCAGGCAGGGACGCGGTGACACTGCTGTCAGCTCTGTCTCCGCAGGGCAGCTGTGCCCGCGCTCGCCCGGCTCTCACTGTGGCCGTGGCTCCGCGGGGTGAAAGCAGCCGGCCTGCAGCCCTTCCCACAGACCCGGATGCCAGGAGGAGGACGGAACGGGCACCGCTGCCCCTTCAGCCCGGCACGAAGCCRGGAGGCAGCGAGGTGCCCGGGCAGCACAACCGCGGCCTGCGGCTGACGAGGCTGCAGCAAGGGCAGGTGACGACGTCCCTGTCTCCCGAGCTGTTTGCTCGGCTCGCTCCACTCCTGCTTTTGTAGCCTGCCCTTCCTCTCTCTCTGAGCAGCCTCCTGCAAGGTGGCAGGGAGCTTAATCAGGTCAGAAATCTATGGAAGAGCATGATTAGGAGCTGTCACTCGCAGAGGAGCTCCCTGGCACCCCCAGGGACTGAGCAAAGCCCGGGGGGCTCTATGGTCTCCCCCAGACAGCTGCATTTAACAACCAGTCTTTCTTCTCGGAGGTCTTAAGCGGTGTCTTCCAGACACCCAGCTTCAAAGTGGAGTTCTGTGGCAGCCTGGAGGGGTTGCATCTTCCTCCTGCTTCCTTCCCAAATTCCTTCTTTAAAAGAAGGAATCCCCTTTCCAAGGGAAAAGGAGGGATGGTCCCTGTAACGTGTCCAGCAGAGTTGTCGCTGCACAGAGCCCTTGCAGGCTGAGGGAAGCATCCCGTACCCAAAGAGCCAAGCTCTGCAGAGTCGTCGTTCTCCTTCAGTGACCTACAAAGCTGCAAACTGAGCTGTGCTCTTTTTAGCTTCACCGGAGTGTAAAGAAAAAGAGGATTTTTTCTTCCAAAAGGAAGCAACCAATGCAGCCTGCACAAACAGGAACCTCAGTGCCTCGGACCTGCTCCTCTCCGTGCTTCCCAAATGGGCTCGAGCCTCCTGGAGTCCTCCTCCAGGGCCAGGGATCTGCCCAGGAGCTTTTCCTCACCTCGCCAGCAGCCAAGCTCACGCCTTTCAACACGTATCCCATTTCCACTCAGACGCTGYTTTCCGATCATGGAACCTCTTTCTGATCCAGGCCCCTCTCACCCAGGGAGCAGGGTGACCTAAGCTGCTGCCAAGGAAAGCCAGGAGATGGAGACACCCCTTCCCACATCCTGCACCGYGGGGACGCCGTTCCCCGAGGCCTCATCTTTCACCCCAACAGCAGCTTTCTCCTGTTTCCACCTCGCGCAGGTCAAGAGCAGCCTGTCACGGAAACGTTGTGCCCGCCTTGACACGGGCAAAGCGGCGTTGCCAGCAGCGCCCGGGCGCTGCCCTCCCTCTCCTCAGCCTCCTGCAGCGGGCAGCGCCGGAGAGGTGCCCAGGGCAGCCGCTCGGGCTCGGCACAGGGCAGCGCCGGCAGCACAGACCCCATCTCGGCACAGAGCCGAGATGTCCAACCCGCCGCTGCTGGAGCCCAGGGCTGTTCCAGGGCAAAACTGCGGCTGAAAGGGCAAACCCGGCTGTCCCTGGGGTGTGCGGAGCTGCTCGCTGGGCTCGAGCACAGGACACAGGGGCACCCACAGGGGCACCCACAGGACACGGCAGGGAAAGGGAACCCAAGGGTGACAGCCGGRGCACGTCCTGGGCTGAAGGTAGGACCTTTCCATCTTATAAAGGCAACTCAGATGAAACACGTGGGTTTTTTTTTTTTTTTTCCAGAGGAAGGAATATTCCCAAAGGCAGCCTTTTCATTCAACTGAAACTGCATCCRTGCTGGGGCTTGCTGGAATAAAACCACTTTACAGATCATTTCCGCAAAATTCAAAATGTGATCAAATTGCAAACGTCCAGCGCCAGTCCTTGGGAGCAAGAAGCCATCTCGTGATCAGAAGGCTCTAAAGGAGCTGGTTACCAGCGGGAGGAGGGACAGAAGAGATGCTATTTCCAGGTGAAAACACAGATTAGTTCTTCAGAAGTGGAAGAACAGAGTAGCAGCTTTTGTTGGTCAAATCACCTGGCTCCTCTACTTGGCAGATTAAATACAGATCAAACCAGCACATCATCCTTGGAAACGCTGCCCTGGTGAAAAGCGGGAGACAGAAAGAGAGCAGCGTGACAAGCCAAGCAGGGCAAGGATCAGAGGAGAGAGCCGGATCATCCTATCCCTTCCTTTCCTTCAATCTTCTGATATTTTTAAGAGGAGAAAAGCCCACTAAGGTAAAAATGAATAAACAAAAGAACAGGCCACAACCACTTCCAGTTCCTTCGCTTCAAATGGAGGCTCCAATTTCAGCTTCCAGGCTTTTGTAAATACATTGTCAGAAACGAAACCGAGAGCTCTGAATGAACGGGGCTCCCTCAGGGCCTCCAGCTTCTTCCCTTTGAAATGGCCAGGTGCTGAGGCCAACACCACCTCATCCTCTGCGTCCCCGGGACGCTGAGCGCCACGGGCCTCTATCTGCTCAGAGACACGGCTGCACAGCCAGCAAAAAACCTCTTGGAACAGTTCRATGCCAAGGTCCTGCAGATATCAATACTGATAAAGACAGACGAACAACGTTGAGATGCAGCTCGGCTGGAAGTAYGGCCCTAGCTGCCTTCAGAGAGGGCTGCTGCCTTTGCTCAGACTAGCTTGTCAGGAATCTTATGCTGTCTGCTAAGAAACTGAACAAAGGAGAGAAAAAAGACAAAACAAGCTCCTGTTGTTTGCAGATTTAAGGGAGAGAATACTGAGAATAAGAAGACCCTTGCAAGAGCCTTAGGAGATATAAGAAGAGTCTCTAATCACTGCTGGCTTAAAGGTGGATGGAGCCTGGTCCTGACCTGCTCAGTCCCTCTCCATCCCAAGAGCTCCCACGCGGAGCAGCTTGCGAGCCCGGGGCTCAGCTCGCACCGGCCACAGCAGCAGCCCTGACCTCCGGAGCAAACRCAGCCAAAATCCCCGCGGTAGAAGCAGCACCAGCGGTTACCTCTGCCTGCTTTTTTAGGCAGAACAAAAGATGTTTTCTATGTGCGCGAGTCCAAGACCTCCTCAGCCCTCCCTCTTCCTGGATGCATCTGCTGTCTCCAGCCTGAGCACCATCTCCCAGGGCAGGAGGGAAGGAATAAACACAGGTTAGTGCAGCCTCCATAGGAGGGGATGGGGGATGCTTGACCAAACGTGTCCCCCTCCTTGTCCCACCATTAATGCAAGCAGCACCTTGCAAATTCATCATTGTCCCAGGCAAAACGGGCAGASAACAAACACCTCCAACTTGTACATGCACACACCAAGGGGTGTGGGTTAAGGGCTCACAGAAAGGTCTGTTCTCCCCTCTCCCCATTCTCTCCCTGGGTGAYTCAGCTGCATTTCCCCAAGCACAAGCCATGTGTTTGCAGCATCCTCGCCCAGGATCAAAACCCACGGCRCAGAAGCTGCCAGGCTGCTTGCAGAAGAGCTATTTTCTCCCACGTTTCTGCAGCCAGATTTCAGACGCAGAGAACTGCTCCATCCAGGAGGGCCAGGCTCTTCCTTCMGCACAGGGATGCAGAGCTTTGCTGGCAAAGCTGGTCAGAAGCTGCACTTTAAACCAAAGGACTGTGTGCCCAGGAGGAGACTTGTTCACTTTAGCAATCCAGCTACATCAGATCAGACCCTTGAAGCTCCCACTCTGCTCTACTGCATGTGAATCTCTGGATCAGTTCCCCCTTCCTGTTATCCTACCTCGGACAAGCCATGGGATCTCCACGCGCCACAGTAACCCAGCAAGCAAATTGAATAAGCAGCTCCTTGTCGAAAGGCAGGTGTTGTATCCAAAGCAGGCTTTCCCAGAGAAGTAAATCCAAAGCAGGGCCAGATAATCTCCGCGATGCARCCCCGGCTCAGCTGCTCTCAGCCAGAAATTCAGATCACTGCTTCGTGGAGCTCCTCTGCGTGGACATGAGGAAAAGCCAGCAAAAATCCCCCCGGTTAAGACAAGGATGGTTTATCTGCAACACCCACAAGGGGTTCCACGTGAGGAGAGGCRCCCGGCTGGACCCGCTGCCGCCTCTGGGCTTCTCTCCAGGGCTCCTCGCCTCCAGATGGGCTGACCCAGCGCTCGCTGGCTCGAGACACGGGGTTTGCAGAAAAAGCATTGCCAGAGCCTGCTCAGCCCCAACATTTAAAGCAAAACGAGCCAAAATGAGCAGAAGGCCCTCGGCGAGCTCTGTGCTGCGGGTTCCTTGCGTGCACAAGCRCTGCCAGCGCCGAGCGAGGCTGCAATGGAGCTAGCAGCAGGAGAGGAGCCACCACCCAAGGCTTCGGAGCTCCTCGTGGGCCCGAGGCCCAGCCTTTACACATTCAGGGGCTCCAGGGGAGGCTTGGGCATGCACRGGGCATGCAGACTCCCCAAGCAGCTGCATTTATCCCTGCAGCGAGCATGCACAGAGCGTGCAGCAGCTGGACGGCTTGCAGGCCTCCGGAGAACACGAAGCATCCTCCCACCCCGGGGTGCTTCCTCTTTACACGACCAGCCGCACAGCTGTACCCATAACAAAACACAGCCTATAATACACCGTATGTTCTCATGGATGCAATGGATGCTTAGCAGCTCGTGGATGCTAAAAGAAACAGGGAAGATGAGCCTGAGTTCCTCTGCACTGGAGCACCGCAGCAGCAAGGGCTGCTTCTGAGCTACAGGTATGAAAATCCCTCCTATTGCTAGTCTGCTGCCTGCCCTTTTTACTAGGCATCGCCTAAAGCTCACACAGAGGGAACGAATACGGAATGATTAGATACTATTTTGCCCAGCAAAAGTCATRGTTTTTAAAATTTCCTTCCTCATATGGTAATTTAAATATTTTTCTGTTCCCATTTTTTCCGCTGTTCCCTCATTCTGCAGATTTTTTTTTTTGAGAGAAAGTCAAATAATACGGCTACATCATTTTTGAATCAAATTGATTAGATGTGTGACTTCCATTGAACAACACACTAAGCTCCAGGAGAGGAGGAAATCAGAGGCAGCCAGAATCCGCACTTCAGGGGAGATGGGGCTGCATTTCAGCTCCAGAATTAATCAGAGTCCAAGAGCCCATTCTGAATTCTCTTGCAGAGTCTGCAATACAATGAAATAATTGTGAACACACTGGTGGTGATTCCAGACCCATTTTCCTTCCAAGAGATGTACAAAACACATGTCAAAATACGGATGTTTTCTTTTCCAAGGCACAGCACCAGCTTGCTGTGGAAACAGCTCCGGGCTTCAGAAGCATTAGCATTTTCTCTCCATGCAAATCGCCCTGCTTTGGCACCAGTGATCCTAATGACATTCGGATTTAACAGGTACAATGTCACCTTGCTGCAATGTCACATTTTCCAAACTTCTTTATTGGTTTCTCTGTCAAGTCAATGCCTCACTGCTTTACTTTAAAAGCTTTGGTCATAAGGTTTTCTAAGAGTCTCTGGGGCAGAGAAGCCCTAAACTTGGGTCACTACTCGCACAGTAGGTGATCAGATGGGTGAAAATCCAATCATATGGAATTACAATTCAGTTACATGAATTATATTCATTACATTTTTCTTCCAGCTGCTCCGGAGCGTTCAGGACTGAAAGTGTCTCCTGGGCCAGAGCAATAGAACAGCTTCCACATCAACAATACAAGAAACAATCAGGAAACTCTCCTCTCATCCCAATGGCCAGCTCAAAACTGAGCTCTCCACCAAGCCCAAGTGTCCTGAACTGTGGCACCCAGGAAGCAGCTGGAAAAAATGAGTCCATTAGTCCAAAAACTAACTGAGCCGATAGCTTGCAGCAGGAAAGCTTCGGGGAAACCTCCAGTCCTCATGGGCAAACCCACTCCAGATGAAATCGCAAAGAGCCACAACAARTCCAGGGGAACAGATGGTTTTCCTAATGGTGATGGAAGGTGTTTCAAATCGCAGCGTCGCTCTGTTGCTCAAGGACTAAGACTTAGACACGCTAGGATGTCAGAGGAGCTGAATGGTTGCACAAGGGCAGGCGGGAAGAGCAAGCTGAGACTTCAGCTTGACCTTCAGGTCAGACCTGTGAGCCCTTCCTGACATACCATAAAGCACAATAAGGGTGCTCAGTTACCTGCAAGTCAACTGCCCATGCCTTCAAACCAAAAGGCTCAGCAGCAACACGGAAATCCTACTGCTCCTGCCTTCCTCCTCTCCCTGTTTGGGTCCATGTGCTTCCCACCGGCGCAGCGTGACCTCCAGAGCTCCTTGGCTCCATACACAGCGGGACTGGGACCCCCAGCAGCCTCAGGTGTTTGTGAAAGCAGCAGCAGCAGGAGAGGCACCACAGCATGGACAACACGGGCTGTGGCCCACGGTTTCTTACTCAAAGGATGAGGCCCTGAAACCCGGGATGTCTTTCCCTGTCTTGAAAGGTGACCTTTCTACTTATTTAGAAAGAAACTCAGTAAAAATCAAGAGAAAAAGAATCAGTAAAATAGAATGMCCAGATTCCCATTTGCAGCCAGTCAGAAAACCAGTTGTTATGATGATGGTACTACCTCAAACGCAGCTTTTGCATCGTTTAAGTTTTCTCCAACAGGAGCTAACAGGGTATATTTTACAGCTGCAGTGAGTGGGGCCTGTCTGCATTGCAAGAACTAATTTATTCCCAGAAAAGCTAATTTAATCTGGCAGTGGCTGTTCTCGGAGCTTTCTCACACAGGAAAGCTTTTATCTTGGTTGGCTTAACAACAATCCAGCGGAACCAAAAATGCGGAGGGGTGGCTAGGGAGGAACCCTGTCCTTGTACTCCGAGTTCTCTGCTACTTTTTACACTTTTGGTAAGCACAGACTCTCAGAAAATGTAAAATGTCTCTCTTTTTTTTTTTTTTTTTTTTTTTTTTTATTTTTTTTTTTTTTTTTTTTTTTTAAAAGCCAACAAAGGCAAAATATGCGTCTCAGGCCAGCCCACTTCACATATTCCCAGCTAAGCCTTGACAGAAGGAGCTTTGCTCTTCATAAAGCTAAACCCCAGCGAAGATTATTTAATATTCGATACCACATTGGCTTCCACAGCAGCAGAGCAAGCCTGGCAGGCAGCAAACCCAGCCCAGGGAACCAGCCCCTGGTAGCTGGTTTCCCCAGCCCACGTCGCAGGGGAATAAACTTCAGAAGAAATGCAGCAGCCCTGAGCACCAAGATGCCGTGTTGGTGCATCGGAAAGCGTTTCAAAGACTAAACCCACAGCATCTTCCCCATCACCAGCCGCTGCAGCCCACGAGCTGGGAGAGAATAACTAATTAAGGCACCAGAAAGCTGCTGCTTATGGTTTGCAAATCATGGCTCGTGTTCTCCCCTTCCTTGGCACGTTGTGCACGGTGGCAGCGGGTGTCCAAACCTACTTGGGCGCCCTGTCCTAGCCCTCCAACACAAACCCGCGGCTGCCCAAGGCCAGGCTTGTCCGCGGCAGCTCCTTGGGGATCCTGGCCCGTCCGCTCCGCTCGCGACGCGGATCGTGCAAAGGCCAAGCACAGCAGCAGCTTCAGAGTTAGAGGGACTAAAAGAGGGGTTTATTTTTTAAAGCCTGGAGCAAAACAACCCTCTGTGCTCGCAGGAGAGGGCACAAAGTCCTCGTCCTGCTGCATAAGAAAAGCAGGTGCAAAGGATCGCAGCCTGAATCATTCCTGAGAGGCTCCCTTTGCTATAGGGGCAAATGCCCGAGGTGGAGAGCATCAGTTCAGGCTGATCCGGTCATCAGGGAGCAAGGGAAAGCTCAGAGCAAAGCAGGACATGACGACAGGCCAGAGGAGAAAAAGGAAGCAAAGCAGCACAGCTCACCCCTTGTTCCTACCCGAGAGGAACTGTGGTCCCTCGGGACTACAGGGAACAGCCTGTGCAGAAAGCAGGAAACTCAGGAGCAGCGGGAAAGGGCTGAGTCACGGCRACTTGAGGAAAAAAGGAAAATTAAAAAGCGATAACACAGAGAGCAGCTGCCCTGGGCCTCCGGGACGTTCCTGAGTCAATCCAGAACATATTAACCCCTCTTTATTTTTAACCCCGCTGCGAACACATGGTGCTGCTATAAAAAGCAGTGCCCGTGCCCACCCGGGGAGGTGAAATGCGTGCGGGCTGCGCCAGGCAGAGCTGCCCGTGCTCCGGGCGCCAGCAACGCGGCGCCGCTCACGGGGCCCGGCACGAGAGGCTCTCCCCTTACCGCCTGGTGCCAGGGCCAGGCTTGGCACTGCTCCTCTAGTCCCCCGAAAGCCAAGCCACAGTTAAGTTTCACTTCCAACATGACCATTTTTGCTCCATGACTGAAACAAAATCAATTTTTATCATAATTTGCCCCAGGAGAGTAGCTTGTTCATTCTCCCATCARCTAAAAGATGACATCTCCGCCGCCGGCCGCAGGGCTTTGGAAGGGAGCGCAAGGGATTTCTTAAGCAACGATGGCTGATCTTTAATCCAATTATTCAGCTACTCCTCACAAACTATGGAGGAGGGTCGTATTTTTTTCATCCAAATAGTTGTGCTTTAGGGTGTGTTTGCACAATAACTTCCAGCTCACTTTCTTGGGATCCCAGTAGGGTGATGCACACATTACAGAACCCCAGATGAGTTTTTTTTTCCCCTCTTTTACATCTGCAAAGCCCATTTGCTTCTAGAATGGATTATTTTGTTCAGAGAGTCAGTCTTAAACACTGAGGGACTAACTTAGCTCCGGAGACGTAACCCACTCCCAGCAACGGGACCCTGCCCGAGAAGCCATCCCAGAGCAAACGGGCTCTCACCATTCACATTTCAAGGAGAATTATTTTCCACTATGACCACATGAAGTCATGAGTAAAGAAAGACAAAATATAGATACAACACAGGGTAGCCATGTGCCACCATGTATAAGATGGAATTTATGTTGTAAGGTGGAAAGTAAATGCAACAAAACACAATTAAGTGCGTTAAATTAAAGCAAGAATAYTCCTCCCCAAAATATTCCTTTTGAAAAGCACTAATTAGTCTCGTAGGGTCAGGTAGGGAAGATTTTCTTTCCAAATTAAGAGACTAGATATCAAAGAAGGTTCAGGGACATCCACAGGTGGGAATGTCTACGTGAACACTGTCCATACAGGCATGCTCAGGGCTGTAAAACCACCATCTAAGCACAGGTCCCTTTTTTATAACCTTAAACTCCCTTAACCAGAAAGACAACTAGATATTATTCTGTTTTATCTTTTAGATAAAGACATCTTTTATTGAAGTTGCTTTGTGAARCAGCTCCGAACCCTCCCCAGTTTGCTGTTTCGCTCCGAAGCTGTCATACCTGTTGAGAAGCTTGAAAACACACGGTTCGTGCCTGCTGTCTTCTGTATTATTTCAATCTCCATATTATTCAAATCCTATTTCCTCCTTTTCCCACCTGGCTGCCATCAATCTTTTCCTCAGCGTGACACAAAGATGGAGTTAGGATGCCTGCACATAGAAGAAACTATCACAGTACTTTCATACATGCTGCACATACATACCTGTAGTAACAGCAACAGCAGGAGCGTGTGGCCCTCCTATAGGTCCTATAAAAGGTCCTATAAAAGGACATATATTAAAAATRGACTTAAAAAAATAGCTTCTTTACAATCCAAGATATTCTCTCCTGATTACAGCAACTATAAGAAAGTCAATATAGGACTTTTTAACAGCACTCCAAATGGTTGTAGGACACGTAAGTTAATGCTGCTTTCTATCAATAAGCAAAAGTCGCACCCACATCAGAGTGGGCTATTAGAGCACTATCTGCTCCCCAAACTACTCATTCTCCTACCAGGAATCTCTGCATCAGCCACATCCTTTAAATATCAGGATTTATCTACTAAATTCTAATTTACAGGAGAAAAGAAAAKGAACTTTTGCATAACAGTTACTTACAGCTCTTTTCTGACTATGCCTGCACAGTAACACAGGGCAATGGGAAGAGACCTGCAGGTCAAAACACTTTGGACCAGAAACCCAACAGCCCTGGAAACATGTATGGCCTGGACCAGCTCTAGCCCAGCCCCTGGACTGAAGGCCCTTCAGGTGAGCTCCTAGAGCTCATCCTCCAGTGGTTTGTCCTCCAAGAGAGGAGCAGCTACCACACTTTGCACCTCCGAGTGACTTCACGGCATGCAAGGCAGGAGCGATAAGGAGGTGACCTTCAAAATTACGCTCCTGAGCCCAAGCAAGGTGCTAGCAGAGACACCCTCTGCCTCACAAAGCAGCGACTGAGACAGAGCTCCCGCCAAGGGCAGAACCACGTGGAGCTGAACCGTGGGCCCACGCATGGGCCCTTTTGGGGGAATATTATGAGTTCAGAAAAAGGATCTCCCTCTCTGCTGAGAGGCAGACCTGGAGCAAGAGCTTTCATTCCTCCATGCACAAATGTGCATGCACGCTGCTGATCTAGTCTGCCACCTGATATTTTAGACACAGCCTGCAAGGTGACAACCCGCAGGACGCTCCCAACTTCTCACCGACCGTCTCCAAACAAGTTTCCATCCCCAGGAAAGCTCAGAGCTCTTGATTACGGGTGCRAGAGCAACATTTGACACCTCTCCTTTCTGCACCCGGCGCCGGCTGCCAGTGCCCAAAGCTCTGCTCGTCAGAGCTTGTTTTCAATATGATGCAGCAAACCAAGCCAGGAGAGGCGTCTGGGGAGGCAGAGCTTAAAGCCTTTTGCTAGAAGACAGCTGAGGTGCTGGGAGCAGTTTGTCCCAGTATCATGAGCCCTTGTGTCCACCACACCACGAGCCGAGGGGCAAATGGCTCTGCGGGGGCTCCATGGAGATGCAACCATGAGTGTGATTCCTGTGGGTGATCCAGAGGAGGACAGCATGTTGCCCATTCCCAACCCACTACATCATCAGCCTCAGAAGCACTTCCAGGCTCTCCAGCACAATCCCTTGTGCTCCCATCATCCTCATCGCTGCATGAAGAAGCCAGTGCTGCTTGAGAAGCTGCTCTGGTTTTGCCTCTTCAGCCCCCTTGGGAGGCACAACCAGGACCTCACTGCTCGGAGAGCTAAAGACTCCTGGCCTCCAGCTCCCTTTTATCYCTCGTTCAAGGGGAGCTGCTGTTGCAGCACTGTCCGTTAGCAGCAGCACCCGCTGCCCTCGTGACGCAGCGCCCGCCGCGCCGGCAGCGCCATGGCCCTCACCATCTCCTCCTGCCTGACARAGGAGCCGCCGGGGCGGCCCCCGGCCCCGCTCCAGCTCCAGCAGGGCTGGCGAAGCGGGCGCGGGGCCGAGCCCGGCTCCCTGCTCCGCCGGGGCCTCTCGCGCTCCCGTTCCCTGCAGCGGCCGAGCCCTGCGCGAGCCGGCACCAGCTCCGGGACGGGCATCACCCCCTGCCCGCCGCTCCTCCCGCATCACCCCTGCCCGCCGYTCCTCCCGCATCGCCCCTGCCCGCCGCTCCGGGCCTCTGGCGCATCCCTGTCCGTCTGTCCGAGCGGCTCCCAAGGGAGCGCAGCCCTTTCCAGCGCCCTGCAGCGCTGCTGGCGGCAGGGGCCGGCCGGGCTGCAGAGACCGAGCTCCCCGCGGGGGTCCCCTTTCCTTGCGAGTCCCCTTCCCTCCTCACTGCGGCTCGCGCCGCCGCCGCGCTGCCTTTTACCCCCGACCCTCCCGGGCGCCGCGACCCCCGCAGCGCCCGCCCGG